CGGGGGGAGTGTAATATTTTATGCCGGGGGCACGGAACGGGGGGGGGTGTAATTATGTTTGGGGGGGCACGGAACTGGGTTTATTTTATATGTGGGGGCAGGGAGCTTTATGGTAATAAAGGTTGTTAATATTTTATTGTTGTAACTTTATTTTGCATAAAACATGTAACGGTGTCATTTATAAGATAATTTTAAGACGGTGTGTTTTAGGGGGCGGAGTTAAGGCTGAGGCAGGGTAGGGGTTAGGTGGGCAACTGGTGGCGAGTAACTCTTAAGGCCTAGCTAGTAGCTTAGAACTTGAACATTTTACCCCTGCTGTAAATTATGCTGCCTGGAAACATGTTTAATACAAACTGCTCAAGGCATGGGACAGAACCATAAGTACTTCACACTTTACTATGTTACTGATGTTGAGCCTGACCTTGACTGGACATTATTAGCAACTATGGTAATTCATGATTTCTGTGCTATGAGAAAATCTATGGTTTCTGTGGAATTAACTATGTTGTGGTTAATATTGAAACCTCATTGTGGTACATAATTATCCAATTCTTGGCCTTGATAATGAGTCAAAAATGGCACTATTGTAGAAATGTTATTGTATTTGGCTTGACAAAGCTTGGTTACACAATGTGGGCTGCTTCCATTCAAACAACGGGGATGCATTTTACTCCCTGTTTGGCTCCACTTAAGTATAATGTATTTTATTTTCCCCATTACAGAAGAAGGAGAATTCATAGCTCTGGACTTAGGCGGTACCAATTTCAGAGTATTGTGTATTAATGTGGGCTTGAAAAATGAGAGTGGAGTACAGATGAAAAGCAAGACCTTCACCTTGCCTACTGAAGTGATTCAAGGAACTGGTGAGGCGGTATGTTTCTCCCTCCTTTGTGTTTATTTTGTATGAAAAGTGATATTTAAAATCTGTGATGTATACGTTACATCTTTAATTGTTTTATTGGTTTAATTTGTTTTATTTTATCTTTAATACTTTTATTAGTGCTACACACTAATAGCTCTCCCTGCAAATGAGTTTACCTGCAAAACATGCACTTTTTAAAATGTATTATGAAATGAGGGCAATCCATCGCTTCCAGGACTCCTTGTTCTTCTAGTTCTTAATGACATTGGCTGTATGTTTGGAGTCGTTGTCCTGCTGCAGAACACATTTGGGGCCAATCGCACACCTCCCTGATGGTATGGCATGACGGGATAAGTATCTGCTTGTATTTCTCAGCATTGAGGACACCATTGATCCTGACCAAATTTCTATTGGCAGAAATACAGCCCCAGACTTTCAAGGAACCTCCACCATGCTTCACTGTTGCCTGCAGACAGTCATTGTACCGCTCTCCAGCCCTTTGGCGAACAAACTGCCTCCTGCTACAGCCAAATATTTCACATTTTTGACTCATCGGTCCAGAGCAACTGCTGCCATTTTTCTGCACCCCAGTTGCTATGTTTTCATCCATTGGTGAATCGCTTAGCCTTGTTTCCATGTCAATGGTATGGCTTTTTGGCTGCAAGGCCGCAGAAAAAAAGGCAGCAGGTGGTCTGGACTGAGTGTCTGCAGGCAACAGTGAAGCATGGTGGAGGTTCAGGAGTCGAGGAAGGGATGGTTTGGCCACCACAGAGCCCTGATCTTAACATCGAGTCTCCCTGGGATTACATGAAAAGACAGAAGGATCTGAGGCAGCCTACATCCAAAGAAGATCTGCGGTTAGTTCTCCAAGATGTTTGTATCATACAGTAGTGAAATCAGCCATTTTGGAACCTATACCTGTCTTGGGTATAAAATTTGAGCTTGTGTTTTAGGGATATTGCTGATGTGTTTTTTCTTATGTATATTACATCTGCCAACCACATAGCTACAATGCAATATTAAATCGTGCTACAGAAATGTGAATTGACAATGTTTTTTTTTTATGCTGGTTCTTTGCAGCTCTTTGATCACATTGTGAACTGTATCACAGAATTTCAGAAGGAAAATGGCCTTCAAGGAAAAAAACTACCTCTGGGCTTCACCTTTTCTTTTCCTTGTAAGCAGACCAGCCTTGATCAGGTAAGATGATTGTGAAGTACTACCCATCTACCGTCTACCAATACACACCATATAAAGTTTATTCACAGGTAGAGTGCCATGAAGTAACCCAAAACTTGGGCTGTTAACTTTATTCAGTTTATTGAAGTCCAACTAAGTGCTGGTTTTCAGTATTTACCAATGGCTTCTGACAACATTTCTAAACAGTCATTCTACTAAAAACTGGTTAGTAACCAAGTAATGCTATTTGGGTGGGTGTGCCTATTAAAAATGAAATTGAAGCAACCCTTTTCTGACAGGCACATGGTACTGTCATTGACAATCCTCTATGAATATTATGCTGTATGGTTAGTGTACTAACCAACTTGGTTCAATAAGCACTGAGTCACTGACCTGGAACAAGCATGCCTATCCATAAAATCAGTCAGACATTCTTATTTGTATACTTGTTACAGGTAAAGAACACACCGTATTGAAGCAAGAGGGTAGACATGACAGGCAGAAAACTAGCATTTGTAGAATGAGTAACGATGTCAATCTTCATGCCTCTCTCTGGAAAGGTTTTCTTTAAAGCTTTGTATACTGTTTCATTTGTAGGGCATCCTGATTTCATGGACCAAGGGATTCAGTGCATCTGGTTGTGTGGGAGAAGATGTCGTCAGGCTTCTTAGAGAGGCAGCCAATAGAAACAATGTATGTACTTGTGTTTAAACTTTCACTGTGTCTGTCGTGTGTATACAATCCCATTTTTTGTGGTTAATGGTTAATTTTATTTGGCAGAACCATGATTTCCGTGTGGTAGCGCTGGTGAATGATACAGTGGGAACAATGATGTCATGTGGATATGATGATACAGCCTGTGAGATTGGACTGATAGTAGGTAAGATACTGTGTGTGCGTGTATAATACACTGTTCAGCCCCCAAAAAAGTCACCACCTGAATTTCAGGCAGTGTTTTGGTCTGGGGTTGCCCGGTCAGGTCTAGGTTCAGCCAAAGGTTTTCCATAAATTGATTTTTTTCTTCCCTTTATGGCACAAGCATATTCCAAAATGACAATGCCAGGATTCATCTAGCTCAAATTGTGAAGGAGTAGTTCAGTGCATGGATTGGCCACTACAGACTCAGAACCTTGACCCCATTTGAGAATTTGTTGGATGTGCTGGAGAAGACTTTACGTATTGGTCCGACTCTCCGATCATCACTACATGAGTTGATCATATTGGCTGAGGTTTTTATTGCACATATTTGTTGGCTGAGTTTTCTTGTATTTACAGGCACAGGAACAAATGCTTGTTACATGGAGGAGATGAGGAATGTGGAAGTGCTGGAAGGCCATGAGGGAAAGATGTGTATCAATATGGAGTGGGGGGCATTTGGAGACAACGGGTACCTTGATGACATTACTACTTCCTTTGACAGCAATGTAGACAAGTTTTCAATAAATCCTGGAAAGCAAAGGTATGTAAAGATGGCCGTAATATCACTTTAGTCCTTTGCTAATATCTCCTTTTAATCCTTTGTTTAGGTTTCCTATACTGTTTTAGGTGTTTCATAAGTATATGTGTACATAAATACATGGTGGGGTAATCAAAAACATTCTACCACAAATTAATGTTTTTTAAATTGGCAACTTCCAGAAAACGTTTACAATTTTTTTTTGAAAACGGGACATTCAGCCATTCATTTTTTTTTTCTTTGTAGGGACAAAAGAATATTTCATTACCTTTCAGCAGTCTTGGATAAGGATGAAGTGAATCAATTAAAAAATGATGCAATGTTTTATGTTTTGTGTAAATTGACGCTGACAAGTCCAGTCTGCAGAGAATCCTACAGTTCATAAATCACTGGATTTTTTAATTAACCCCTTCGTACCCCTACGTACACTGTACGTGATGAGTTATTTGCTGCACTAGAAGGCTGAAAACCGCTGAGAATCAGCGGTTATCATTCATTAATGGATGCCTCGGTATAGAGGCATCCATTACTGATAGGGTTAACCTTTTTCATACACCCGATACCTGAAGATCGGGTGTCTGAGAGTCAGAGGCGTAACTAGAACCTTCAGGGCCCCAGTGCAAGAAACCATGAAGGCCCCCCCCCCCCACCCCACCGGACCCGCATGGTTAACAGAACGGCG